GGACCCACAGCAGCTAAACAGGACAGAAGGAAGCAGCAAGGAGGCTTTGCAAGAAACTTTGGCTTGGTGGTGGCTCCTGGAGGCTTGCAGCTGCAGCTCTGTGCCTCTGGAAGGGAATCCTTAGACACAGCAATGTGTGCTGCAGTAGCACTCAGCAGAGTTGAAGATGTTCGTCTGCCTCATTAAAATTTGATTCCCAAAGTTTCTCTCTCTTTTTCCTTCCTAGAGTGTTTTCAAACATTGTTTTCCTGCATACTTGGATAACTGATGCTGTGCAGGGCTTTAGTGAAGGTAATTTGAGAATTCTTTTACATTGAAAAGGTATAAAAAGTAATCCCCTGAAGTACTTGGTTTTCTTTCCACGACATTTCATTGTAACCACCTACTACTGCTTTACCTCGACAGTATTCCGAGGGGTTATTAAAGAATTCTTATAGTTCAGAACACAAAAAACAGGTCTGGAAGCCCCTGAGGGATACAGGGCAGGACAGGATGGGGCTAAGACCCAGGAGAGCTGCCTCCTGTTAGGAAGTTTTCTTCCTGACTCTTCCTCTTGCCTTGAGGAAGGAAAAGTTCCTCTGCCCTTGAACAGTGCTCAGCAAAATGAGTGCAGATGTAATGCAAAACAAAAAAACCCAAAAAAACCCAGTAAAATAGGAGATGGGACTGCCCAGGTCTATGTTGAAGCTAGCATGTGTTGTATGCAACATTACAGAAGCAAAACTGTATTTCTGTAAGCCCCTGAGAGAGACAGAGTTTAGCACAGCACAAAAGCCCACAGTCATAATTCCAGAACTCCAGCCTATTTTCAGCTAGAGTAACAGAGAGAGAACACAGCCTCAAATACAGGTCCCTTAGATAACCTCACCCAGTGGCAGAAGGTGACTGGGTGAGATTATCTAAGGGACCTTTCCTGACTAAGACCCTCCAGATGTGACTTCTCTTCTTGAAGGCACTTCCATGAGAACGTCCTCACCCTCACACCTCCAAGTTGTGTGTGTGGGTGTGCTGGGACAGCCCTAGCTGAGAGAAGCTGCATCAAACACGGTGAAATATCAATGCACACAGCACATTTTTGTGTGTTTGTGGAATCTTCCTGACTTACTGTACCTGTCACACCCTGGATGAGAAGGATTCACCTACTGAGAATTCATTTCCAGGCTTGTGCCCTCCATACAGAATTGGAGTTTCAATCCACTTCTCAAGGAGCCAACACTATGGGCGTTCATGGAGTATTATTCCCTCCTCCCATACCCTGAGGTCACCAAGGTGGACACTCTTGCTCCCACTAAAAATTCCTTGATACAAGAGCACAGTTCACTGCTTTACTGGACAGCAAACTCCACATAAAATTTGCTCAGAGCTAAAAGGTTAAATATTCATTTTCAAGGAAGACAGTCCCCATGGAAGTGAGACACCAGGAGAAGCCTTGTGAAACTGCAGAGCAGAAGGGAAGAGCCCCTTTAGACACAGCTGCTGTCTAACAACCATGTTTTATGCAGAATGCTTGGGGGCTACTCTATTTTTATAGCTTTCATCCATAAAATAAGAAGCTAAAGCTTCTGGAAGGAGAACGCAATTACCCTACAATGATGTAACATCAGAATAAATTCAACACAATCTGTATAAGCAAAGAGAAAAAGCACCCAAGCTTTTTCCAGTTGGCAGTAGATAATAGTTTATAACTGCCCTGTCATCAGCCTTCAGAAGCTATCTCCAGAGCCATATGTGGGTTGGCAACCAGGCATAGTGGCTAACTAGCTTTGCATCTAGCTGTACAGAAGTGGAGACATATGGAAATGAACAGCCTGGCAGAACAAGTGGGCTCTGAAGCAATGGCTTCCATAAATAAGTGCCTGCACACTGGCAGATGGAGAAAAGCACAGTTAGGGAGGGACTGTGTCACAGCAGCAACTTGATTTTAAACAATTCCTAAAAATCAGCCTGAACTTCGGATCTGAGCCATTTCCAGTTCCTTCAGTGCTCTTCTTGCTGGGGAAAATCATCTCCATGAAATCAGGGAAGGTAGAACAATGCATCTAGCAAAAGATAGCAGGAGCTGCTTCAGGAGCAGAGAGCAGCACTGGGAAGTCACTGATGATTTTTGCCTCTTATTACTCTGCTAATCATGCTTTTGGTACCTTTCAGAAAGACACAAGCAATCATTCCCCACAGCCTAGAAAAGCAACACGTGGAGAGACACTCCCAAGCTGTGTGGCAGTGCCAGAAACACGGGCACAGTGGGTACAGGAGTGGGGGACACACACGTGCACCTTCCTGCAGGAAATGGGAATTTGTGCCTGCTGCTGCCCTCTGCACTCATTCCTCTGCAGACCAGTCTATTTCAAGGCAAATGGTACCTTTCCTCTTTGCAGGCAGCAGACTGATTCCGAGTCACTTTTAAATGAAAGTATTACTTTAATTCTACTTTTTGGGATAAGGGGACTCCCTGTCTGCTGATCTCAAAGGTTTTTCCACTTACCATAGCTGAAACAATTTTTTTGTGCACACCCTCTAACCACAATCGACATGATTATTTTAATGTGAAAGAACAGAAATATAATTAAATTTCAATAAACTAGCTAACTTCACTAAAGCCTCTCAATAATAGACCAACTTTTATGTATAAAGGAACTCCCTTTCTCTTCCTGACACTGTATTACATGTATGACCTCACTTCTTTACGCTGCTTGGTTACCACCTCACACCTCAGGTGTCTGTGATACCTCATCTTCTCCTCCCACACCACAGGGGGGGATCAAGAGAAGCAGCAGGCAACAATTTTCCAGTGAATGTCCCTAAATCCAAACCCCACATTAAGCTGAAGCCATCTACAGTGGGAATCAGTTTAGAAGCTGCTTCACAATGTGGGAAAAAGTAAAGGTAAAAAGATTTCTAGAAAGCTGTAAAAGTAGGGTTTAGGAACAGAAATAATAGAAAACTTAGAGCTAGCTGCAGATATAAAGTTTGACAGTAGAAAAGGTTACAATAGTACAACAAGCAAGGACATGAAACTATAGCTTGAGTTTTAGGCTTGGCTAAGATAAACTTTAAGACTGCAGAAAAATATGCTTAGCAAGATAGTAGAAGGTTTTTATGCTTAATAATGAAGAATTGTGTGTTGTTAATAGAGAGCAGACAAGCCAGCGTTGTGTGAAGCAGGTGTACCTGTGCTTTTAGTGACTGGCTAGAACAACTGTCTGTGAGCTTTAGCAATGTGCTGTTGGCTAGAAAGTTTTTAAAATGCTCTGTAACAAAGAAATCTTCGGCTGCTGCTGGCTGTGCATGAGCTTTTGCCATCTTTCAATTGTCTCAGCCATGCAATGAGGCTGATGCTGCAGTAAAGCTCAAGGAATGTACCCCAGCAGTCCTGCCCTGTTTGTGATAAACCACCAACACACACTCTGGCAAGAATCACCATGGGAAAGCCATGACCTGCCTTGCACAGGCCCTCCCAGAGATCTGTCAGCTCTGTAAGCTGTGCTCAGCCTCTCTGCTCCACTACAAGGCTCACAGCAAAGCCAGCACAGCCCTGCTCCAAGGAGCCAAGGGCCATAGGCACACACAGAGTGAAAATCACGGAGGATTACCTCCGCAGGATGGCACCGTGTCAGTTTTTCATTAAATAATAACAGCCACTGTCAATCAAAAGAGTGGAGAACAGATGGGGAGAAGGCTGTGTTGAGAGAAAGGACTCAAACAGGAATATGGATTTTGTCTCCCACCTCCTCTAGTCTGCTCTCAGCCCAAAATGAACCTTTGCACATCTCCATACAGGCAATACCCATTGGTGTGCTCCAGTACTCCCAGCAGCTCTGGCTGCTTTACCACCACAGCACAGCATAGTCACACATGTACAAAATGCTGCAATGGAAGATTATGGAGTTTGGATTCCCCCCACCTCTACCCAGCCCTACAGTCACTTTATCTACTCTCTTCTTCAGGAAGGTTTAATAACAGATGGGATTCTGGAAAGAAAACAGTCCCTATTCATGATGCTTCTCCTGAAGAACAGCACAGCACTAGCTGAATTTCTATGTTATCTTACTTTTGTAAGAACTTTTCTTTTTTGTATTAAAGTTGCTAAAAGAGGCAAATGTTTGCTTACTATTGAGTCCAGCAAAACAACTGCTGAATCTTCAGGTTTCTCCTCAGTGCTAAAAGATTAACATTACAACTTGAATTAACTTTTTGTAATAGATGCTGTAGGAAATTCACTTACGGTTGCAGATTTAATGTAAGATAGTCTGTGGGCATGTGTTTATAACAAGCATTTTCTCCAAAATAATCTAAAATGTTAAACAACTTCCAAATAACCCAATGCAAAAGGCAGGCTCCAAATTGCCACTTGTAGTAAACAACCCTAGCTGTTCAAAAGTACCTTTAAAATGGGCAAGTTATGGCATTCTACACTGCAAGATCTTGCTATTCTTTGCAAATAATTTTCTTTGTACTGAATACTTGTTCTTAGCACTACACTGACTACCTAAACATGACTAAAACCAGCTGTAAAACATTGTGCCAAGGAGAGTTTGTGACCCAAACATAGGAGGATTACCACCCCAGGAGTGGCATGAAGGACATGTTTATCTTCCTGGCAGTGTGGGGGCAGACAGTTGATGACATAGCTGGCAATGCAGATCCAGAAGGGCTGAAAACCATTATATACATTAAGAGTGAACAACAGAAGGGGCTGAAAAATCACCCTGTGTCCAGCCCCAGATTTCACATGGGGGCTTCTTCCCTCACTCATCACCCTTGTCCCAAAAAACAACCCCTTATTAACAATGAGTTGGGAAGACAGTTAAGAAAAACACTTTGGCTCACATATAATACTGTAAAGCAGCCAAAATAGTGTGTATTTCAAGAACTACCTAACCTTCTTGGAAACAAAAACAGGCCTGAAAAAAAAAACCCAGCACAAATAAAAAGTCACATTTTCAAGTTAGCTGTGAAAACAATAAGAAATGATTCAAAAAGCCCAACAGTTCACTACATACCTTAGCTATTTGGACACACCAGTTGAGCAGGAGCTGGGAGCCAATGTTGTCCTTATGTTCATGGACATAATCCAGGAGGCAGCCGTGAGGCATCAGCTGGGTGACCAGCTGGATGGTGGGGCTCAGGCAGACACCCAGGAGCCTCACCAGGTGTGGGTGGTCCATGCTGGCCATGATCAGAGCTTCCTGCAACAAGAAGAGTGACCCAAAGGTTACCCAGCAGCTCAAAGACTCCACGCACTCCAGGTGTTGTAAGGCAGGAAAATTGTAGAGAAAGGCTGTATAAAATCAAGCCTGCTCTCCTTGTCCACCCTTTGCAAGTTCCCATGTGAAAGCAATCCTGATAAAAGCAGTTTGTTAACATGACAATCTATTCCTGGGTGAAAAACAACTAGCACCTGTATAAAATGTTTTTACACACTTAGATAGAAAAATGAAAACCTTCCTGAATGTACACACAATCAATACAGGGTAACAACTTGTAACTAACCCATAAACTAATTGGCAAGAAAGCTACTAACCAACTGGGGTCACACACAAAGTCTATAAAACTGTATAAAAAGGAGTTATGTGAATAAAGAATGAGCTTTTTCCACCATGAAGGAAATGGAGTCCTGTGTAATTTATTCCAATACTTGAGTGACTAAAGGGGATCAGTGTCTCCTCAGCAACATGAATTCCCGTCTGTCCAGTGCTAGGCATTCCTAGGGAACCTCCAGGCTGATGCAATGTCCACTTGATGTTCTGAGTCCCAAAAAACAAGAGTGTGCACAAATCTAAAATTCTGCACTGCCCCACATTCCCTGTCCTGTGGTAGCCACAGAAACAACAATGCAGGTGTGACAAGCTCCACTTAAAATCTCCTTTGTCTCTTGGTTTAATGCCTTTTTGGGACTATCTACAAACAGAGGCCAGACAAAATTAAGGGAATAAAAAGCAGTTATATTTATTGAAGGGCCTTCAGGTACATTTAGTGCAGAGGAAGCCCACCCAGGGGCTACCCCCAAAAACTGGATGCTAACTCATGGGTTTTCACACTTTTTTAAGTGTGGCCCATTTGCATATTGGAGTTTAATCTTCCAATTACAGCTTCAGGTAATGAAGCAATTTACCCCAAGTTTGCTTTCTAAATCTGAGCCTCTTAGCTCAGCATCTGATTGTTCCATCACCTCTGCCATCAGATCTTGGATTAGTTCATTTTTGTTTTTTCCACACTTTAGCTTTTCACACAGAAAAGACTTTATTTCCCTTTTCCAGACTATGAGAAGTTTTCAGCTGGACCAAGCTGGTCCAGGACCAAGGACCAGAAGGTTTAATCTTGGCTATGCTCTTTGATCCTAAAGTTCACACCTCTGACCAGTAGCTCCTTATAAGGATCTCCTTATAAAAACCCTAAATAATAGTTCTTAGAGGTAATGCTGCCATCACAAGCACCTGGCATTCAAATATAGCAAGGAGAAAGCTTTCCTCTCTCATTCAATGAGTCCTCCATTTCAAGACCATTTCATCATGGCAATGGAACAACGAAAAGTGAGATGGAATTGTGGCTCTGTAAGGCTATTTTGGCTGTCTTCTTTTTTTTTTTTTTTTTCCCTCAAAAAACACCAATATGACATCTGACAACTTACAGAATAGCAGCTGTAATAGTGCCAGGGAAAGAAAGAAAGAAAGGAAGGAAAAAAAGAAGGATGAGACAAATTTGCCACCAAAAGAACATAAAAGCTGGGGGTGGGGTGGGGGGGGTTTCCCTTCCCTATATTAATGCAAAATAAAAAAAAAAGAGGTTCTGGCAAGTAGGCTGAGTTTGTGTTAAAGGAAATTGCTCATCATAGTACAAAGAATATTTGAAACCAAATTGCAGATATTTGCATAATAGTTCTTTTACTTTCTTTCCCCCTCTTTTTTTTTTTTTTTTTTTTTTTTTTTTTTGGTAAAACAAAAAGATGAACAAGACACTAATTGTAGGCTTTTTTCCTTCCCAATAAGAAAAGAGCAGATGGTCCTTACTGGGGGGAGTGACTCCTTCCCTTGTCTTCCTCAATGTATGTGAAGAAATAAATAAATGAATAAATAGGGGCTATTTGATGGGATAATGGAGTAGCAGATCTGAGAAAGATTTTGATGCAACAAATTAGAAAAGGGATCTGAATTTAACTAGTTTTACTCACATTCAAATTAATGCAGTTCCCACTCACTTAACTATAAAATGTGGGACTCCTTGAAACAATTTAAACAATTTTAGCCTTTCTTCTGCTGTCACTTGAAAATGTCCCTAAAGGCCACCAGAATAAATACCTGTACACAGGTGAATTACTCAGTCTCCAGAGCACAAAACTACTCTGCCTCATATTTTTTCTTTTTCCCCCATTCATTTTGCTCCTGCAGATGCATACAGGGACAGCACTTGCTGCCCACTCTGCCTCTGTGGAATGGCAAGAGGTTCCCCACCAGCCTGGAGCTGGAGTACTTTTCTTTATATCCCAGACTGATTAGAACAGAAATGAGCTGGTTTTTTTCTTTTTTTTTGGTCTTCCAAGGGCCCACACAGAAAGCTTTGAAGCTTGTGTCCATTAGTCTCCAGCTACTTTCCATTGCCAAGTCTATCTGTGTCCAAAGGAAAACCACTTCTCTGCAACAATAAAAGCAAATTTGTCTCATTCTGATGGTACTGGAAAGCACCTGCTTTTCCAAGAGTTTTGGGCAAGAGTTTCAGGGGAAAAAAAGTCAAAAATTGTTTTTTATAAAATATTATGGACTTCTCTGTGATGAATTAAAACACACACAGAGGGCAAGGAAATTTTCACTATAGATCTAAGCCACTAACAGACACTCATTTAGCAAGAATCCTGGCTTCATATAGTTATCCTCATTAGTAAAACTATTGTTATTTTTATTGAACTTCCCTCTAGAGAAGAACTAAAATCAGGGCTATGTGTATCCAGCACAGCAAAACACAAAGTAAAAGAGATTGCAATTGTTCTGCTAGAGCCTAATTAGACAAAACAAACAACAACAACAGAGGCATTATGACTTAGCAGCATTTTAAGAATCTGTTCAGCAAATAAGGAATACAAGTCTCCAGTTTCAAACCTGTTTGGACATGAAAGACCCTAGAGCTGTAATCTTTGTGGCAGTTTGACACTCAACTAATATAATATAATATAATATAATATAATATAATATAATATAATATAATATAATATAATATAATATAATATAATATAATATAATATAATATAATATAATATAATATAATATAATATAATATAATATAATATAATATAATATAATATAATATAATATAATATAATATAATATAATATAATATAATATAATATAATATAATATGATATGATATGATATAATATGATATAATATAATATAATATAATATAATATAATATAATATAATATAATATAATATAATATAATATAATATAATATAATATAATATAATATAATATAATATAATATAATATAATATAATATAATATAATATAATAATCTATTATAATTCCTAATATACTTGTCTAAAACATTTTAAGCAGGTGAGGTACCTAAACTCACAAACTTGGCTGGTGGCACTGGCATCTCTCAAAACCAGCCTTTGCAATTTTCTGGGCCTTTGGTAGCTGTGGGTCTCCAGCTCTTGTCTCTACACTCAACTGGCAAAATTACAGGAATGACTTTGGAATTTTAATTTAATGGAGAAGAAACTGAGGTACCAAAAGGGTACCAAAGCCACATGGGAAGACTGGAGCACAAGTGGAAACAGTGCCCCAGATGACTCTACTTTTTTCTCCTGAAAAAATTCATGTCCATCATTCCTCTCTTCATCCCTTAATGTGATTATTACATTATTACTCCATTAAGCTCAACTGTGATTTATACACACAAGCCTGTATTAAGCAGTAGCATTAAACAATCACATAAATGTGATGTTAATGGCTCACACTTATCTGCCTGCTGTGTGCACTAAGAAAGAAGGTTGAGTTTGCAGGTCCCAGTGAGCAATCACCAAAGCTATTACTGGTTTCTGTCAGCAGATCTATGTCAAAAGGGGTCCAGGGAGGTGCAATTGCAATTTGGAAATCTCACCTGCTTCCTGATCTATCCATACTCTGCAGTCATGTTTGAAATATCTTTAATTTGGCTGCTATTTCTGAAACCTAATTCAAAATCTAGCTAAAGCATGGTTTTTATTTTCACCTTCCAGGATGGGGAAAAAAAAACCCAGTTCTTAAGACTGTGAGAAGAAAGAGTGCTCTGAGTACACCTTCAGCACATCTTATAGGATGAAGATATTCACCTGATAAAGAGTTAAGTAAGCACAAAGTCTGAAAAATCTGTTTTCCTGGCCTTCTGCTTCTAAATGTTCCTGCCATAAAACATTGTCAAACAAAGTAAAACAGAAGATGCCAGGAAAGAACAACTCAGACGTTTTCCCTAATAATTGCAGAGTAAATAAATGTACTTAAAAGCTGACTTCACTGTGCATTTTTCTGAAAGCACAGCTGAGGTAACAGGAGAGATACTATACTGAATACACTGCTTTTAACATTAATTTTGTATTAATTCTTCTACTGGCTGGGGCAAGCACCTGTCTGGAATGCACCTTTGACCTGCTGCAGGGCAGATCCAATCACAGCCCAGCATTTAATACATTTCAAAGCCTTTTGTTTGTCTGCTAGGTCTCACAAATTGTTTAGGTGGTAGCTGACTCAGCCTGTGCAGTCTGGAGAACAACTGAGCAAATACACATTTAAGAACACACATTGCCACACTGGTGCCAGGACAGTGACACCCACTGCTGTATTTCCCCTCTAGTGCCTATGCAGGATGGTGCTCTCATGGTTTCCCAGCAGTGCTGTGCTTTAAGCAATTTTTCAGAATGCAGCTAAACCTGCAGGCAGCTTGGCAGGGCCATGGCTGTGTCACCACAGGTGATTCCAGCTGAGCCTTCCACATTCAGCTCAGTCCTACCCTTCTCAGACACGGAAATCATGTCACACTGATCATCCCTCTCTTCTTCCCCTTCTCAATCTGGGTGTATTACTGCTCCATTAAACTCAACTTCTGTGTGTATATATTTATATTTATATTTATATTTATATTTATATTTATATTTATATTTATATTTATATTTATATTTATAATTTTACATTTGTATTATTTATATAGTTTATA